GATCGGTGTTGACAGGGCGCAATCTTGCGTGTCAGGTTAATTAGGCGGCATCATTTTTGGCATAATTGTGCATAACAGGTCAGTGGATAATTAGTGACTTTTCGCCACATCTGACAGCTGCGGGCGGATGTTGGGGGCGGGGGGGGGGCCGGGAGAGGGTTTAAAAATCACACCAGGAGCTCAGGGGCGGCCCTGCCACCACCTCTCCTTGGCCCCCAGGTGGGTGTTTCTTGCCCTCCATGGCTCTGAGATTAAAATTCAAACCATTTCATACCCTTTTCTCTTTTGAGATATATATATGTTTGCATCATTCTTATGTATAATTACTTTGTTTTCCCCCCATTCTGACATAGACACAGGCCCAGAATCAGGGAAGCTGCCCTGGAAAAACTGGGCCTGTGTCACTCTGAGCAGCCTTGAAAATGTCCGTGTTCCAGAGCGTGTAGGTAAGGGTGGCGGGACCCTTTCCCTGCTCAGATGTGCCCTCAGCAGCCCGTACCCCTCTGCAAGAGCCCAGACTGGCGTGTCCCCTCCATCCCACACTCCCCTCTGGACTCGTGGCATGCCGGTGCACGGACACACAGCTACGAAGGGTGAGGGCAAACCCAACCTGCATGAGAAAACTATGTATGTCACACGTGCCTCTGCCTAAAAGCATGCACACAGGTATTTATGGCGTACCTCTGGCAGGGTGCCTTCCCACCCTGCCTCTCCTCGCCCCCGCGCAGTCATACCAGTTGGCCTGGCTCCCCGGAGGCATCGCGCCTCTCACCCCGCTGCAAACCTGCACCTCCATCCTGCTAATGACACAGCAGCCAAGCTGCCACGGGGACAACGTGACTCCTGAAGCTGCAGCCTGGAAAAAAAAAAAATGACCAACCAACCAACCAACCCTAAATGTGCACAATCAAGTGATGAGTGTTTGTATTTCTGATGCTTTGAGGCCAGCTCACAACCCTCCCTCCACATAATATTCAGGATGTTTGGGAAGGGGTATTTTTCTTTTAATAGGATGGCGTAGTCACAAAGCTTGAAAGAAATAAATGAGTGAATCGTCTATGGTAATAGTAACATAGTATGAACGGGGCACAGTGACGAAGTTCAAGTCTATTTTTAAGCCTGCCTGGTAGCATGTAGGTGCAGACAAGAGTCCATGACCCTTTTTGCTGTTCTGAAGCTGTGGACATGGCTGATGTCTCTGTCCCAGTTCAACGTCAGAGTTGTTTTTGCTCCCTAACGAATGCTATGGGAAGACAGAGAAGCCTGAAGCTGTTTTGAAGATTGTGCAACGATGCTGGGAAGCCTACCTGCTTTTGCTTGAGTGCTTTCCTCGCTCACATTTCACAGGATGCGACGGGAAGGGAAATACAACCGAATCAGAATCGGACGGCCCTGGTAATTGGACTTGAATCCTTCGTATGCCCTGGGGATGAGGTGGGTGCCTCTCAGATAAGAAATCTAATCAGCTTTGCACTTGTGTCCCATCTGGAAACAGATTGTTGCCGAGGTACACCACCACCTGAGAATCAAGCTTCAGCTTTTTTTTTTTAACGTAATCGTACCAACGAAGTCAGGCAGTGTGAATTTGCCTGAGGTAATAAGATCTCTTTATTTTTATTCATAGTTAATCCATTCAGCCGAGGCGATTTCACACCAGAATGCAGTCTCCAAACAAGAAGGACGACTGCGTTGCCTGCGCGGCGCATATGCATGGTGCCTGCCCGGCAGATCGACTGCTGCGACAAAGAGCCATGAGCCACTCCAGACACATGGGCAAGATCAGGAAAAGGCTGGAGGATATCAAGAACCAGTCCCCGAAGTTGACAAAAGCGGATTTCAGCCACAACGAAAGCATAAGGTTGGCCACCGATGCCTTCCTGGATGGTGGGACAGATTCTTACCTTGAAACTTTAAGCAAAGAGGGCGAGGTGGATTTCCTCTCCTCAGTGGAAGCTCAGTACATCAAGGATAACGCCAGAGAATCCTATTATGCGCAGGAGTCCCTGGCTGCGGACGGAGCGACTGTGCCAAAGCAGAACGATGCCGGGTCACTCCCTTCAGGGACCTACTTCCCCACCGTTTCTGACAGCAGTGAGCCAGCTCTGCTGCACACATGGATTACAGCGGAGAAGCCCTATTTAAAGGAAAAATCCACTGCCACTGTCTATTTCCAAACAGAGAAAAACAGCAACATTAGAGACATCATACGACGGTACATCAACAAAACCACTCAGGTATGAGCAGAGAATTGCTGTTCCCTCTGCACTCGGTTGTCTTCCTGCTCTTAAAAAGATCAGGTAAATGTGGTGTTTGATCCAAGCCAGCCTTGAGTGTTGCAGTGTAGCTTTGCTGTAGAAAGTGGCTGTAAAGAGCCCATTGTTGAACACAGGCAGTGCTTTATTTATTTTTTTTTGGTACTCATACCAACACGTTTTTATGTTGGTGACTTTTAAACTCCCATTAACCCAGCAGAGCAAATGTGCCATAGAAAGGGCAGCTGGGCTCTGTCTCTTCTCATGCATCACCAGCAGGGTGGTTTGCTCCGTTCAGACCATTGCACCAGTAATGAGAATTAAGCTAAAGCGAGCTCTGAGCCATTAGTGATTGTTTTAGGAGATTCATGGGAGATGTGGGTGAAGGGGAGCCCAGAGAAGGACATGTGGGTCTGGTGTGCCAGCAGCCATCCCCAGAGGAAGGCAATTTTTCAGAAAAAAGACTTTTCATCCCTAATACGTTGTCAGTGTCACTAAAAATGCCGTGTGAGCTCCATACAGAGGCTCTGCAGTGTAGCTTCGCATGTGGGAAAGGTGCAGACGATGATGCCTCTGACAACAGAAAAGGGACGGGGGGCCGCAGAGCAGTGCCACCCACCCACAAGCCAGGTTGCCCACACACTGGGAAACCAGAAGCTGAGCAGCTGAAGGGTGACACAAAGTCTCTGTCATGTGTGTTCTGGCAGCTTTCCTGTTTTCCTGGAAAAAAAATATTTGTCATTTAAGGTCAGTGTTTACCATCATCTAGGAGTTTTTCCCCTTGTATAAACTCAAGATGCCACTAGCGTTTTCGCAGGGGAACGGTCAGGAACAAAACCAGGCTGTGGTGCCTGCTGTCCGGCACAGGCTGCAGAGCCCACTGGACTTACAGACTTTCACTTTTTTGTTCTCCTGGAAGGGCAAGTGCAGGGCCTAATAATGCTGAGTGTAAGGGCAGGGGAGAAGAATCCCCATTGGCAGCTGCCATGTCAAAGGCTACAAGTGCTCAGCACGAGGGGAATTATAGATCAGTCATTTTATGTTGGCAGCATCAGAAAGAAACGGTAACAGAAGAAACGTCTCTGGAATAATAAAATAAGCATCAGGTAAAGTATCGATCCCGGCCAATTTTCTGTCCCAAGCAGAGGAAACTTGTAGGGGAAAAAGTGGGAAATGTAATATAAATTCGTGGTTCACGTGACCTTCTTAACCATGTAATTTACATTACAAGAGGGTGCTGGAGCAACACTTACAGTATAAATTTGGCAACTGATTTTTGAGTACAGTTTTCAGTGGCAGCATTTATTAATTAGTATCTGATAAGGGTCCATCCTGGATAGCCTAGTATTTGATATATCCATTAATGATATATATATAATCTTCTATATAATATATAATCTTCTTTCTTAGATACAAGAGAGAAATTCTTTACATTGAGGGTGGTGAGGTACTGGAACAGGTTGCCCAGAGAAGTTTTGGATGCCCCATCCCTGGAAGTGTTCAAGGCTTTGGGCAACCTGGTGTAGTGGAGGGTTTCCCTGCCCATGTCAGGGGGGTTGGAACTAGATGATCTTTGAGGTCCCTTCCAACCCTAACCATTCTATGATTCTATGGTTCTATAATGACTTGAACAACAGAATAAAGACTCTGCTTGTGGATGACATCAAACTGCAAAGGATTGGCGAGTAGTACTATAATCTTAGCACGTTTGTGGCATAGGCATAAATCACGATATGAAATTTGGGCAAAAGAAATGAGAAGCACTGCAAGTAAGAGAGGAAAGTCAGGTGCAGAAATACAAATTGGGAACAGCTGGTGAAAAAGCAATAGCAGAAAGAGTGGTCTGGAGCTGCGGTGAGGCTGGATGTGGTATTGTGCTATGTGAAAAGATGAGGTTAGTTAACAGTAAGTGTGGATGTGAGACATTGGACATAATTCTGCCACTTTCCTAGCACTGGCAAGGCCCTTTCTGAAACACCGTGCTTTGGCAGCAGAAGGAAGGTGTGGGATCCTCACTGCTCGGCTAATAATTTGGCTTGCCTGAACAGAATGCTGGCTGCACGGGATGTGCTTGGTCTTGCAGGATTTCCTCGTGGGGGTGAAGGGAATAAGCTTGCTGGCAGGTGTGGGCACAGGCTTCGGAGTAAGATTCAGTGCAAGTTGGAAGCAATTAGTAAGACACATCTGCAGAGATACTGTAAAGTTTGGTTTGGTTGAAGATTATATCTGTGAGTGCAATTATCAAGGGTTCTCTTTCGAGTCAATGGAGAAATAGGCACCTTCTGCAGATAAGTCAGGTGTTAGCTGGGCTGAATTGCCCTAGGGAGATTACCCTTCCCACGGACAATTGCAGACATCAGCAAAGACCAGCACCTTCATGAGGCCGTGCCCAACGCTGAGCGTAGGGGCTAGAGCATGGAAGTGGGTTTATATCACGTTTACTGTTCCCTTGATCCATACTGGCTGGAGGCCGTGCATTTGAGTAGCTGCTGGGGCTCCTACGCCCGGTCATGATACTTTTACACACTGTCCTGCCAGTTGTGAACGGGGAAGCATGGATGTACAGTTAAATTGAAACAACTAGTTTATAAATTGTTATAAAAAACAAAAGAAGATGAAGCAGTTTCAGTCTGTCCCACCACCACCACTGACAGAGTGAGGATTTAAAGCCAGGACCGTTCCAGGTGTAAGTCATAACAGAGAAAGCGTCATCCAGTGATTCTTGCAAAATACATGTCACTTACGAAAGCTAGTCAGCCATTTGGCAAAAGCTGCTGTCTCTTATTTTAGCTACATCCTTATTATTCTTCAATTAGTGCTTCAATATATTTCTTAGTGCTGAAATCTCACCTACAAATTCATGTGTCATCTTGTGCTTTAGGATTAAAAGAGCTTAACTGAAGTGTGTATGTTGTGTGTTATGTTGGCTTTATATGAGCAACAAAACAATGACACAACGTGTCTCATTGATTTACTGATTCAGGCACTTAGGGAGAAAGTCAGAAGAAATATCCACATATTTTTGAAAATTTTTCACTCTGAGGGTGGCGAGGCACTGGAACAGGTTGCCCAGAGAAGTTGTAGATGCCCCATCCCTGGAAGTGTTCAAGGCCAGGTTGGATGAAGCTTTGAGCAACCTGGTGTAGTGGAGGGTTTCCCTGCCCATGTCAGGGGGGTTGGAATTAGATGATCTTTGAGGTCCCTTCCAACCCTAACCATTCTATGATTCTATATATCTCTGAAGATTTGTGTTTGTTGGAATATTTCTTTAAAAAAAATAATCTACATTTCAGTGACCTCACAGACAACTTTGAGTTATGTAAATTGACTCTGCTAATGCCTCTGCTTTTTCCCTCCTAGGTGCTAGCTATCGTGATGGATGTGTTCACAGACACTGAGATTCTTTGCGACCTCCTGGAGGCAGCTAACAAGCGCATGGTGTTTGTCTACCTGTTGCTCGATCATGGCAATATAAATCTCTTCTCGGAGATGTGTGACAAGCTGCAAATTGCCGAGGATCTCTTCAAGGTACTGTGGCTCTGTGAAGCTCTTAGGCTCAGATTCGTCTGCCTAACTTTAGGCACACTGAGCTAGAAGCGTGGTTATGCTAGCGTCAGTCCGCCTTGTAATTAAGAGGGAGCAAGAGATTTATAGAGTTAGTGTTAGTGCACCTAATTCCCCTCTGAAGATGCCTACATTTTCCCATGGATGTTACAGGAAGTTAAGTCATTTCCATTAGGTCCTTAGATGAAACTAATCCGGGCCCTGAACTCCTGAAACAGAGCTTAAGTCCCCTAGTAGCGTTGTCTAATGTAAGCATTACAACTGCTTCTGTTTAATAACTGCAGCGACTGTGGTCTGGCAGCTACGGGTAGCAGGTGCACACAACTCTTGCATGGCAATACCTTGGTTGCACTAGATGGTTTCTGATAAAACCATGTTGTTAAAACTCTGTTTTAAAGATGATCCCTCAGATTTAGCTGGCTGTTAGCTTAGTCCACCTTCATCTCTGCCAGAGGAAACTGACTGTAAAAATAACCTCTCAGGGGCTATTTCAGTTTTAAGATGCTGTAGGGCAACTGTGACATCTTCGTGGGGATGGCTGATAACTGCAGAGGCAACGGCCTGCTGGAACAGCAGCTGGAAGGTGGGCAGGAGACCTGAGGGCATTTTTCACGCACCAGACACTAGTGTTTCGACAGCTGAATTCCACCCCAAAGAAACTGAAATTAATAAAACATGCTCGTAACATGCAGTGTTTGCATATCTGTAAACCCCCACTCGTTAGGAAGAACAGTTCTGTGCTATTTATTGTAAGTATGTTGCTGCAATACTTGGGCTTTGACAATGCATGAGCCAAATTTTTTACCATGAGAGTTGTAGAACACTGGAACAGGTTGCCCAGAGAGGTGGTGGATGCTCCATCCCTGGAGACATTCAAGGCCAGGTTGGATGGGGCCCTGAGCAACCTGATCTAGTTAGAGATATCCCTGCTCCTTGCAGGGGGGTTGGACTAGATGACCTTTGAAGGTCCCTTCCAGTCCTAACGATTCTATGATTCTATGATTCTAAATCCTTGGTGCCACTCATTTACTAAGGCCTTGATTCTGCAAGGTGTGTGTATGGAGAGCAGAGTCAGGCCTGGGTGCCTGGCCTGCCTTAAATGCGCTTCCTCAGGGACAAGGACAGCGCAGGGCATCACGTGGGCCAAGGTGGCCTGCGTCTCCGCTCACATATGTACTTGCATCTGATCCTGCAGGACGGCATTCGCCTGGGCTGCACTAGAAGAGCAGCATGTACATCCTTGCAGGCCCAAGTGGACTGGAAGGGCGGAGGTTTTGCCCTGCTGTGTTGTGCCATAGCTAACATAAAACAAGAGAGCTTACAGCTAGAGCAAATTGTTGCTGGGGTGTCAGCGGAGGTAACAGACTGCTCTCAGCTATGGACACGTCTCGTACTCATTTCGGTAGGGATGGCATCAGTTACCGTTACACAGCACAGCTCCATCTGTGTGAACTTCCATGCAGGTCTATATCCCCCTTGAAACAAATAGCCCTGGGGCAGGTGAGAGAGCTTGGCTAGGTTTCCTCTAGCCCCAGACCTTCAAATATAGCATTGGAGACTCCATGGAGAAATCATGACAGACATTGGGGAAGTGAAGAGCTAAAGGCGGGGGGGCGGAAATGGCCCTTTCCTTCTGATTTTTAATTTAAAAAAAAAAAAGGAATTAACTCTGTTCTTTTTTTTATTTATTTATTTACAGAATATTTCAGTCCGCAGTGTTACTGGAGAGGTTTACTGTGCCAAGTCAGGCAGGAAATTTTCAGGACAAATACAAGAAAAATTTCTTATCTCTGACTGGCGATACGTGCTTTCTGGATCTTACAGGTGAGATAAGCTATTGCAGTTCATGTCTAGGTGCTCTTTAATGATTTTTAGTATTACTTCACAAAAAAAGTGCCATGGAAATTTTTGTACGGATGAGAAGTTTTTTGAACAAAAGCCCCTCATGTTTTCAAACAGGTGCCATTCTTCAATAATCCATTTAACTTGCTTAAAGCCAATGTTAGTTCTTCCTGGACCGTGGTCTTTAACTGAAACATTCAGAAACTAACGTAAACAACTCTGCCAGTGCAGCCCTGGGGCAGAACTAGAAATGTGTATAGCTTAATATTATGCTTTCCTCATTGTTTGTGCCTGCAGATGCTGTGATCATGAGACATGATACATTTCCATCTCCCTTGGGATCCCTTAATGTAGCATATGTCACTCAGCTTGTCTGAGGATTTGTTCTCCGTATGACAAGTTTAGTGATTAAAGGGAAAACAGAAATACTTCAGAGACTTACTGTTTTTTCTTGTGTTTCATTAACAGGTAGGCAGTATGTGTCTACAAGTCTGTTGTACCTTCCCTTTTTTTTCCCCTCTTTTTTTTTTTTGTGTCAGCTGAGTCTGTAACTCAGACTCAAAACTCTGGTTTTGTACTGCTATAATTATTTCAGGTAGAGGATGTAGCATCTCAACAACTGGGTTTTTAATTAACGTTCAAGATCCTTCAGTCAGAGAATTTCCAGAAACTCTGAACTTGCATCAAATAAATAAAGTTCCTAAGCCTCGTGCATAGATGAGCTTCACAAATGACAGAGCGTATCCTAGAAATCTAGCTACAAAAAGACAAGAGATGATTATTTAATGAAAAGGATGAGATTGTTTTTCTTAATCCCAGTTTATGATTTGGAAGCTTCAGTGCCTCTAGTCTGATAAAACTGTGCCAACAGGGAGATTGCACAACTGTAGTAAGGAAGGTAAAGCTGAATGCATGGGGTTAGCCATAGGCTGCAGGAGCTCAGCTGTCCACAGAGGCGGGCGTCCAGTTTCATTCAGTTTCCAAACGAACCATCAGAAGAAAATGAGTGAACACTCAGAGTGGATTTTTTTATTGGCCACTCTCTGTTTTTCTTGTTCTTTCAGGTTCTTTTTTAATCCCTCTCCAAAGATGTGTAGAAGTGCAGATTTATTTAGAGAGTAGAAGTGAAGGATTTGTGGGAGAAGAGGGACAGAACGAGATCTATTTTCTTTAGCCAAGCAGCTTCTTTTTGGTTCCTCTTCAATCCTAAAAATAAAGGACAAACCCTTGAAGTCGTGTGCAGACTCACTTCTGTCATTCTCTGCTGCTGTTGCAGTACCTTCTAGCCTCGAGAGCCTCATCGAACCACATAATCCCCTATCCAGCAAGTAAGCAGAGAGGGTGGTGAGGAACAAGTCTGTGCACTATGTAACTTCAGCATGCTCAGTGCCAGTTTGCGGATTCACTTGAGTTATACCTGGCTGTCCACACGTGGCATTTCTGTAGGCTTGCTAGCTCTCACTTTATCCATCTGAAAGTTTTCTGTTATCCCTAAACCTTATCCACCAACCTCTGCAGGTATAAACAAGAATGATGTTGAGTAAAAACAGGCTGAAACTCTTCTGCAATGCATTTGTTGGAAATCAAACTGGAATAGATCTTAAAACTCATACAAAAGATCTTAAGACGAACACGACAGCAAACTTCACCCAAGTGCTGTGCTCTGCATGACTTTGCAGTAGCAGTGGGGGAAACAGGCTGAGGAAATAAAATAGCCCTTCAGGACATACTACGCTAAAAGGGACCCTGCCTCCCTGCTTCTAGCCACGTGTTTGGGGACAAAATACACTTGCCTCACAGACGAAGAAGAGGACTGAAGCTGGCAGCTAGTTAGAGGCAAAGGAACCACCACCAAGTCTGTGGCATCTCCTGCTCTGGAGTGGTTTTTAAAACCGCATTAAAAAGCCATTGCCTGGGTCAGTGTGGATAGTGTGATCCTGCCACACAGGATCTGCAGCTGAGAAGCTTCTGAAGGCTGTTCTAGCCACGTGTCTGCACAAGTGCAGGCATGAGTAAGTGTTTTAAGTTACAGTTTTCTTCTCAGTTTTTTGTTGCCAATGTCTATGGTGTGAGGTTCGGATGCTGTATTTTGTTTTACTGTCTCTGTGTTACGCTACTCCCTCCTATTTTAAATTAATTTTCAAACTCATTTGAAGTTAGATGGTGCATGAACTCAGTGCCACTGAAGAAGGCAAACTGAAAACAGCAGAAAGCATAGACCTTGGTCCTCAGGGGCAGCTGCGTACCTCCCCAGCTGCCACTCTGAAAGCCACCAGCCTGTTCAGGGCCAGTATCTAACACCTGACACTGGGGTGCTTTGCTGAGAGCGTCGGTTCAGGTGGGGCAGGTTTCTTACACAGAGGTTATCCCACCAGCAGGCAACACTAAGGTGGAGGTTGATTCAAACCTGAGCATGGCTGAAAATCCCAGTCCATCTGTTTCAGATTAAACGCGTGGAACATCCCTCGTGAACTGCAGCTGCAGTAGTGCAGAGGCTGCACTTGGAAAAGTAAACAAGTCCAGTGCAAATGAAGATTAGATGGGAGAGGTGCGTTTTGTTTCAGACAATCATAAATGAGAGGATCTGGAACAGGACATTGTTTTGGGACAAAGCCCTGGAGAGAAGACTGAGAAGTTATCTATTAGTGACTGAATTTGTGATACAGCTTTGGCCCCAAGCTAGGCAGTACTTGCTTGTGCTTTCACTTCTTTCTGATGTGCTTCACCCAAAGTGGCCTGCTAGAAAAATGATCCTCTGGGCAGATAGTGACAATAACAGACATCTCTGGGCCTTTCCCGAAAGACCGCTCACTCGCTCCCCTTCGATGGGATGGGGGAGAGAATCAGAAGGGTAAAAGTGAGAAAACTCGTGGTTTGAGGTAAAGACAGTTTAGCAGGTAAAGCAAAAGCCGTGCATGCAAGCAAAGCAAAACAAGGAATTCATTCACTACTTCCCATTGGCAGGCAGGTGTTCAGCCATCTCCAGGAAAGCAGGGCTCCATCATGCGTAACGGTTACTTGAGAAGACAAATGCCATCACTCAGAACTTCGCCCTGCTTCTTTCTTCTTCCCCAGCTTTATATGCTGAGTATGATGATGATCATATGGCACGGGATATCCCTTTGATCAGTTGATGTCAGCTGTCCCAGCTGTGTCCCCTCCCAACTTCTTGTGCACCCCCAGCCTGCTCGCTGGTGGGGTGGGGTGAGAAGCAGAAGAGTCCTTGACTCGGTGTAAGCACTGCTCGGCTGTAACTAAACCATGCCTGTGTCGTCAGCACTGTTTTCAGCACAAAAATTGGAGCAAAACAGGGCCTAAAAACTCAACTATTAATTTCCTCTTAGAATGAAGCCAATGAAAACCTGCTAAGTCTTTATGTCACGTTCTGCTTTGTTCTTCAGCAAAGTGCACAGGATGTAAATTGCTGTGACTCACTACAAAGTCCACAAACATTTGTCTAAAATCATGCAGGTTTCACACCTTGTTACTTTACAGCTGACCCATTTGCCCTCGGTCCATGGAGAATCTTTGGGCTGTTAATCAGATCCAACTTCCTCTGCTTACGAGGATTACAGAAAGATCGATGAGCCAGTGTCTGTCCGTCAGGCACGCCAGGTAGTTACATGTGGGAATAAATTATCAAAATTGGGCGCAACAGTTTTTTCCTCTGATTTTGTTGGGTTTTTCTAAGCCATTTATAAGTGTAATGGATTTTTAGTTCTCTCTAAATTTTTTTCTAAACTAGATATATCTCTAGCACATAAAGCCTAAACCTGCCACTCCACACCTCAGCCCTTTTTACGAGTTTGTAACCTCCAGCGTAGATATCCCAGACTAATTGCGTGTGTTTTCGTATTTGTGCCTGGCTTATTATCTCTTTAACAGTTAGACGAAGGACATGCAAAGGTTTAGAGAGTGCTTCCCAGTGAACGAAGGCAATGCTGAGCTGGCACAGCAGACGTTACCCAATCAGCGGGGAGCTAGCTTGCTCTGCTGTTTACGTCAGCTCCCAGGGTTTTGTCCATATTTACAAGGGTTTTAACAGAGTGAGTGAGAAGTACCTGTACTCTAGTGACTTACTGTATATTTTCATGTCCAGTCATAAAATGTACAGTATGTATTGCAGGGTTGCCCAGTGGCATTGAACTAGCCGTTTCTTCACTCCTCCCCTTGCTCCTGAATCAAGGATATCAAACCACGGTGTGCCCCAAACCCAGCCCTCTTTAAGAACGCTCCGAACGGGCAGATGCGAACCGTCTGTCTTTATTCCCCGAGCATCAGCTCAGCCTGTCAGTCCCACTGAGTTTCGCAGGAGTTTTGTCAAAACATGACAAGAGCAAGATGTAAAGTGCACACACCTACTGCCAAGTCTGGCTCTCGGCAATCCTTGTGCACATCCAGCGTAGCTAATAAAGTCACGAAGGAATAACCGGGGCAGAGCTTTGCCAGTACAGAATAACCTTGGGTTCAAATCCAGCGCCGCTCTGTATCGCCTGCTGCACAGCTCAAGCCCCAGCCAGCTCAGGGAGCAATTACAGTTCGTTCTCTCAACTGTGCTCATTTTATTGATGCCGCTGCTGCTCAGACAGGGCAGCCTGCACAGCACAACTAAGCTGCCTTGTGGTTTTGTAAAAGAAGGCAAATTTATGTTTGCGAAGTGGATTAGGGAAGCATACAAAAGAAAAATCATTTAAAAGCCATGGTGTGTCTAAGGTGTGTCTCTGGACTACCAGAATGAAAACTATTGCCGTGTTTCTGCCTTACTTTATAGCAAAGTAGTATTTTCATTTTTGGAAAGGCTGTAGGAAATATTTATGATTTCATTTTCTCTGTAGTGAAGAAAACAAGCATTCGTCAGGTGTGGCAGTTTGTTTTGTGGGAGCGGGATGAGACAGGGAGGTTGGGTTTTTAGGTGTTGTTCTTGACGAATGCAGAAAAAGTACGGCAAAAAGAAAACAAAGGATGGTTATTTTTCTCTAGTCTTTCTAATGTCAGTTTTGAGTGGGTGAGAGTTACCAACAGGCACAGCATTCTGCAGGGAAGGTACAATTTGTGTGTGTGCAGACGAGACACAGTAAGACCTTAATTTAAGCATTGTGCATGGAAGAGAGGTACCCAAAAGAGGGGTCTAACCCGCTTTCTGTGGAACAGACACCCACACCTTGGATATTGGATCTGACGTTTAGTCCTGCAGTGGATCTTGATCACCACTCCCTTTAGGAGGTTGTATAACTTTAACTTGAAGGTTTTAGGGGCAGCTGCAGTAACAGAGCTTGATCTGAGTCAAAGAGCACTGATGTGAACTGACCTGAAATTCAACTGCGACACCATCTCCATCCCGTGTTTGGACACGAAGCTGCAGCAGTAAAACACATTTGCCTTTCGCACCACCCCTGCAGGGATCTCCAGTTCCTAATGGCTGACCTTAACACTAACCCTCACCTTGTCTCTTCTTCCAGCTTCACATGGTTATGTGGCCAGGTTCACCGCAACCTCCTCTCCAAGTTCACGGGTCAAGTCGTGGAGCTGTTTGACGAGGAGTTCCGACACCTTTATGCACTGTCCAAGCCTGTGAGGGGGCCGAAGTCTCCGCCACGCACCATGCCCTTCCTGTTCAGCAAGAGCTGGGCCCCCCAGCGCAGCCTCCCCGACAGCAATGAGGGAAGCGCTGATCCCTTCAGCAGCCTCTCAGCTGGTAGCACCCACCAGACCAAGCAAACCCCAAGAACTCTCATGTTCAGCAGCAACTTCACCCCCCAGTCGCCTCTCCATAGAGTTAATTCCTTCCACAGCTATGTCTCCTTCACACCCCCGCCACCGCAGAAGGCCATCCAGCCTAACTACTACCAGTCACACTACGTGGCCGATAACTCCGCCGTTCTGTACAACAACATGAACGTTTACAGACCCATAAGACTTAGACAAGAGGAACCGAACAGGACAGGGTTAAGCTCACCCTGGAGATGCCTCCACACTTCCAACCTGTTTGCATAACCACCACCTTGTTTTGAATTGCAAGTAGATGCAGCGAGGACCTGTTTAGCAATCGCTTCTGTACTGATGAATATAGAAACCCTGTATAATACAAAATGAGGATGATTTCAAGCCTCTTGTTTTGTTGTGCTGCTTATGGATGCTTCATTTCCCTAATTAAAAAGCCAAGCCTGCTAACATGTAAACCTTGGGTGCATCACAATCCCGGGAAGAACACATCTAAATCATGCTGCTCGCAGTGCAACACTGCTGCTGCCTGTCACCTGCCCTTGGTACTTGTGTAGCAGTAGGTTTAGGTGGGTAACTGTTCTTCATATGGCCAGGCACCTGGAAGAGGGATAAGTCACAGTTTATTACTGTGCATTTTGTGCGCTTTTTAAGGAGACTGAAGGCTGCTGTTTACGTGCCAAACCGATGCGATGCTGGCAGCAGCCGTCTACCTTCGAGCTGTCATCACACCTTCACCTTGATTTAGGAGGACTCCTTTAGGGCTGGTGGGGATGCACAGTTTCCACCATCACACTGTCTCCGAGCTGACTGCTTGAGGTGCACAGCAAGTACGCCTGTCTGCAGGGTTTCTAGGAAGGGATCTGCTGAGCATGACATGGACTGAGACCGACAATTCAGGTTATGGAGGACATCTTGCAGCCACCGTATGCTCACTTCCACTCGGTAGCAACATGGGAGCGTTCCAGCACGCTTTGTTACAAACCTCCAATCCCACCAGCTCGGGGCAATTTTCCTCATAGCAGAGCAGCTGTGTAGATTCAGACTGGAAAATGAAGCTGAGTAAAGAAGAGAAGTCCTATTAGTAACACACCAGGACTGAGTTCCAATTCATTTAATAGCACATCGATCTTAGAAATCCTCTCAGTGGTCATTTAATTAAGTGCTAAGTTAGAGATAATGATGCTTTATTTCAGAGTTCTTCAAGGTTTCTAATTTTTAAAGAGAAAGTGTCTGTAGTGAACACAGTTACAGAGGTTCAGCAGCTTGAACCAAAAGCAGAAGAACTTTCTGCCAAATAATCTATGAAAATTAAGGAAGCTTCTGGAAGTGAAAGGCAAATAACAGTAAGAAAATTCATGAAACAAAGGATTTCCATCCAAATCCCAAAGTTACAATATGCCTAACATCTGTTGTTTTCTCAGTTGATTGTTTTTTACACCTGCTTTATATCATCTTTCATCCAACAGAAAACAGAAACCTAAACACATTTGCACATCTGGCCCATTTCGCCTGACTTCTCACCTGTGCAGCAGCAAGATCCTGGGTTAGGAAAGTTTCTCATCCTTGGAAAAGCAATCATTTTGAAAGTATACCGGTGAAGTGTAGAGAACATTATGAAAGGTACAGAATGGACACCTCCTACTCTAGCTACGTTGCGGACATTTTTACCTGTGATATAAAGTTTTGGAGTCCAGAATAACAATAAGCTATTGCATATAATTGTAAATTCTGTACATAGTAACATTTTTTGGATTCCTTGGGAAGAAGGGAAAGTCGATTTTAATTCCTGTGAGAATTCTACGTAATTATCTAAATATGGCAACCATTCAAATAAAAGACTTTCATTAAAATCCTTTTGAGGATAATTTTTGTTTCTTCGTATTCTCTTGACTTGTGCACCTTACTCTCTTCTCTTTGTGCTGGGTTTATGTGGTGGGGCTTTGGTAGTGGAGAAGGGGCTATAGGGATATCCCCATAGGGATAGATCCTGGAAGGAGATGTGAGAAGCTTCCCCAGCTCCAAGTCGGACCCACCTCTGGCCAGGGCTGAGGCAATCAGCACCTCTGTGAATAAATATATTTCAGAAGGGGACAAAGGAACCCGCGCCATGTGGGACCTACACTGAAGAGAGGGGGGAGGAGAGGCG